ATCCCTGAACAACACTGAACAAAAAGATGGAGTGCAACCTGGACAGGCTGTCAGAACCTCACCGCACCCAAACTTCTCAAAATGAAGGTAGGAATGAAGTGAAATCAGAATCATAAAGTTGTTGTTTAGGTAGGAATGAAGTGAAATCAGAATCAAAAAGTTGTTGGTTTTTTTTATTGCCAGGTAGCTTTTCACCTACGAGCCATTTTCTGGTCAACTCTAATAGAATATGATTTCAAATTTGGCAGTAAGGATACCATTTAGACAAACGTTGATGATAAAACAAGAGAGGTTGAGACGTGCGTGTGTGTGTGTGTGTGATGAACAGTTACAGCCATGAAAAGAGAGTCCAGTTACGGCCGACACGACTTGTGTGTTCTGATTAGAATTGATAGTTTGCTCTCAGTGTTTTGTTGAAATGAGATTGTAGCCTTAGTTACTAGCTAATGTCACTGGTACTTGGAGTTCCTGTTAGTATGTGGTGGGAATGTGACCACAGCCAACAGAAAAGCCACCATGCACTCACTGTGCCCCCAGCTGTACTTTATCATCAGATGGTGTGATGGCGACAGCAGAAAGACAACCACAGGAAACAGAGTTGTCCTTTCTCACGTTATCACCAACAGTTCCAACAGTTCGCAGACAGGAAACGTGTATGTGTGCATGTGCACGTGTAAATTAACACTGTCTAATGAGAGGCCTTGAGGTTTCTCGTCTTGTCTGTAAACAGGCCTGTAAATGAAAGTAACAGCTTCCTGAGTCATATGACCGAAACCGGAAGAGCTGTGCACGTCTGTGACGCATGTAGGGTTTCTTCAGCAGAAACCAACAGACTGTATGTTCACGGCCGGGAGGTCCAAACCTCAGCCCCAGCCTACAGAACCATCGCCAGAAGGAAACGGTGCACTTCCGAAAAATGGTTATTTTAATTATAATCTATAGTTTAGAGACGCTCCCTAACCTTTATTTATCAGACAAGGGACCAATAAGTGCTTCAACTGACAAGTGTTTAGCATTCGGTAAACATAACAGTCTTGAGAAATTTAATTCAAGCAAAACCTGACAAAGACTCAGTCTAATGTTTATCTGTGTAGTAGCCGTCACTGTCTTTAATATTTCATTTTGTCAAATTAATAAAATATAACACCAAACAAATGACTTTAGTTCTATATCTAATTTTAAGATTTTGTGTAACTTCTTGGTTACCACATTGTTTCTCAGATCAGATTTAATGAAATCTCTTTATAACTCCAGGTGTCTGGCAGTCAACAGCACTCACACAGGCCACATGTCAACATCGCTTACATTTCACTACAGTTTTTATCACTTATGTCATCCACTCAGTGCAAAAGTAGAAGAAAAGAAAGTTGCATTGTTTCTGACCCGACCAACAATAATTTGTGACAGTAGAGCTGGCAGAGAGACTCGGCCGTTCACGCAGCATTAAAATTTGATTTAATATTTAATAAATGCAACTGAAATCAGACATGAGTCACTTCAGTCTGGTGAAAAGAATTCATTCACCCCTGTCAGCTAGGAAGTCGTCATTTTTGGTGAAGTCATTTTTTTTTTATTCTTAGTAAAAGCTAAATTTATGAGCAGTCTCATGAACTTACAGTTTTTATCCACAAATCGATAAAGTTTTAAAGAGTGCAACGTCTTGAAAAGGTGAAAGTGAAACAGTGCAGTAACTCACACATCACATACACAGTGTCTGCCCTCGTAAATTTTAAATGCAGTGAAAATTCACAAAATTATATTTTTGAAAAGATTGGTTACAATGCAACTTCAAAAACATTAAGAAATTCAACTGTACTTTACCAACGCCACACTGATGCACTCGTCTGGTCGTGATGGAACCTTCAGGTTGTTGCTGTGGCTGTGTGGGAAATCAAAGGTTTTATTGAGAGAAAAGGAATGACCGGTGGTTTAATGTTTTCACCAGTATAAACCTCAGTGTCTGTGACTGTAAATGACATGAGGCGAAGGGTCTTTATTAAGACTGAATATAAGGAAAGGGGAAGTGTGTACTGTACATTTTTTAAAGTGGAATTTTATTACATCAAATTTTGGTAAAAGTCACTAAATGGACACAATTAAAAATTCAGTTCTTTCACAATAAATTCAGTCAAAAGCTGGTTCCACAGTGAGTGGTTTCTGCTGTTGTTGAGTCTCCCAGGTGTTGAGTCTCCCACCTGTGCCATCTGGCTCTCTGTCAGCCCTAACATTAACCGTCTGCTAAAACCCTGAAAACACAGCCTGTCTCTTCTTAGCAGTTTGAGACTCTGGAGAGATGTTTCTATTATAAGCTTGGTACTCGTACCCTCACTTTAAAAGTCCTTCCTTATGGTATGTTGGCATCGTTGTGTGTTGTCAGGCTAACAAAAATGCGTTAGCAAAACTAGAGGACATGGCACCACTGTTAGCTTCAAACCCTCTCCAGCAAACTTGCAGTTACAGTAGTACCAGGGTCCACAAAGACTGCTGAGAACATATTCCCCAGAGCATTAGCCCATGAGCACTAATCTGAGCTGGAGAGGATGTAGACATGCCTTCAAGTCTTATTTACCCCAACGTCTGATCCTTCCAGCAGAAATCAAGAGCAGGCAGTTGTTTTTCTAATCTTTCTATGTCCAAGTTTGGAAAGACTTGTTAATTCCAGCTTCACTCAAAATTCAGCTTTAAAGAGCTTATAAGCTGTTGTCTCCAACAACAATATTCAGTCTATAGTCTCTCTGGGAGGCTTAAGATTTTTTCTCATCTTTGAATCAACCCATCCAGGTGTTGGTTCTGTAGTAAAATGACCAAGCCCATTTGACAA